CTTCACCACCATTAGTCTTTGACTCTGGAACCAGTCAAGAGGGAATCCAGAAAGCCTGCCAGACCTGAGGTGTCCTGCAGGGGTTCAACTACTGGGTTCAGGAGATCTGATAAGGTATCCTAAACCGTTTGGGGGATTTATGGACAAGCAGTAGAAGAAAACTGGCAGCCGATATAGTGAGATCATGAGAAAACTGGAGGTACATGCCTGAGGCTTTTTTGATCCCTTGGTGCCAACCTTGGCAGCGCAGCATTCTGAGATCAGCTGTCAGCTGTCTGATTGCTGTTTTGGAGCAGACCTGGTGAAGGGTGCAACTGCAGTACTTCAACCTGCTAGAGATTAAATGCATGTACGAGTTTCTCCCCAGATCCATATGATTGACATTAAGTCTCTGATCCTGACTACTAATTTAGGTCTTAATTCAAGGAAGTAACGCTGAGGTTTCTGGCTTGACTTTTCTGTTCAATGACAAGACTATCAAGAGCATTTGGAGCAATGGCAGAATCAAAAGTCAAATAAAAAGACTTTGGTTCCAACACAGGTTTTTATAGTTCTCTATGGTTGTGTGATATTGCTGGGCTATCAATAACTTGAACTGGCTAGGTTGGCAGAAGTATATTTCTTGTAAAGGTCCTGTATGGAATCATTTGGATGTGGTTTTAACAGAGAAAGGTTATAGGCCACAGACTAGAAATGTGGCTTCTAAGCTACCTGTGGCACCTCCGGCTTCAACTAATCAGTTGGTTGGTCAATTACACTTTGCTTCAGACCTGAAATAAATATCTAAATTGATGTCATAAAATTTTGGATACAGAGATGAAATCTTTACTTTTCCAACATTGTAACCAGAAAGGTTAGCTAAAAGGAGACCTAAGTTGTCATATTTTTAAGTAGAGGCCCACTGACCAAGCTGAAGAAGTTGGGAGTGAGAAAGTGATAGGATACCCCAGGAGGAAGTCGTTGGCCTACATTACTTAACCTGCTGCAATACCAGACCCTGGACATCACCTGCTAAACATCCTAGCATGTTAGCATTGTCCATTGTTAGACCGTTAGCATTTAGCTCCCAAATGACAACCTGTGCCTATAAGATAGATAGATAGATAGATAGATAGATAAGATAGATAGAATATGATAGATAGATAAGATAGATAGATAGAAAGATAGATAGATAGTAGATAGACTAGATAGATAGAATAGATTACTTTATTTATCCCCGAGGGAAATTCAGTATCCAGTAGCATACAAAATACAAACATACATTAAATGTACATTAAACATACATTAAACAAAAAAAAAAAAAAAAAAAAAAAAACTAAAATTAAAAACCACTGACCTTAAGAACAGAATAAAAAAAATAAAAAATAATATATATATATATAGAAATATATAAAATAACGGTAAGGCTACACCGTAAAAAATCCAAACAGTAAACAGTGCAAATGGAGTGGAGTGCAAATGGAAGTAAAAACAGGGCAAATGGATGTGCAAATCAGGTGGAAATTTGCATTGTCTATTGTCTATTGTCCTCCCTGCCTTTACTGAGAGCTGTTGTACAGTCTGATGGCCAGGGGGACGAAAAAGTTTTTGAGTCTATATACAGCTTCACAGAGCCACAAGCAGGCTGTAGATTCTTAGGTATAGTAGAATTTGAAAACCTGTAATGTGTCTATATCCAGCAGGTTTTAATACATTTCTATTAGTCAGCTAACTTTTTAAATAAGGAAAACATACAGTAGTGTAGATGTTACATGTGTACCACGGGGTGACACATGAATTTTTCTTCCCATCCTGCCTATTCTCACTTTATTTATTTTCAGTGACTTTCTTCTCAAATAATGATATTTAGGTTTCAGACATGACCTCTATAAATGACACTCAGATGATACGTAACTGATAAACTGCTCCTGGCTCCCTTCCACCCACAAGGCTTCATTTATCTTAATCTTAAAACTAGGGGGGCATGTTGGATTCCTCATCTGAAATCAACCACTAATGTTCACCTTAGACAATATTATATCCAGTGTTTTTAATGACAACACAAGCACACAGTTATAGTACTGTATCGGAGCATTTTCCAAACTCACTTTATTTCTTGTGTCAGATGTGCAGCTTTTTACATCCTTATCATCTCAGTCAGTTCAGTCAGTGTGTAAGACATTTTTTGCCCCTTGACTCATGGGATCAGCAGAAACCCAGAGGAAGTGAGGCAGGGTACGTGTGTTTGTTTGCGTGTTTGTACATTTTAAAATGGGTTTGCGCACGCAAAAGGGGGCATTCCTGAATCCCACTCTCACTTCCCGGCTGTGGATCACTCAGTAGTCTCTGTGGGGCCGTGGATAAGATCAGTCTCAGCCCCTGTCGCAGCCACAACAGCCTCTGATTACAGACCCTCCATCTCATCAGCAACGACCCCTGAGGAAGTGAGGGTCATCTCCTGGAAGTGATACCCTTCCTTATCTTAATTAGCCACCAAAAAAAACTACTAGAGGTCTGGTAGCCTGGATGCAGTAAAGAGGTTCTGAGGAGTCAAAGGATAAGGAAATCCACATCCTAAACATTACATTAACAGCTTGAATGATGTAAACTGCACCTGTGCATCAGTACAGTTTCCATCATGACTTTTAACAAGCTTATAACTCAAGACCTTGCCTCATGGTGTAGATGTGCAGCACTGACTCTGTGGCAAATCTTCATTTTTTTTACTGAACAAAAGCCACAGTCAACATGGTTTTCTGGAACACTGTGCAAAACCTACATGAAAAACCGAACATGCCTTCATGGATTTTCTGAGTAGCTTAACCTATTCTGAAAACAATAATTATGATACAAGTCTAGTTAAGACAGCTCATGACTGTACCAAAGAGTTGTAAATAATGGGAAAAACCAGCAAAAAAGGCCTCAAAGGTAAAGCATCATTATCACCATAGCAATTAACATGCTGCTGTATGGTAGAGCTGCAACGTTTAGTTGGTTAATTGATTAGTTGTCGACTATTAAATTAATTGTCAACTGTTTTGATGATCGATGAACCATGATTTTTAACAACATCAATATTTTCTGCTTTGTTTGGTCCTCTATGACAGAAAACTAAATACCTTTGGTTGAGGACGTCACCTTGGACTTTGGGAAACAGTGATCAACATTTCTCACCATTTTCTCACACTTTATGGACCAAACAACAAATCGATCGAAAATAATTATTAAAATAAACGTTAGTTGCAGCGCTATTGAACGGCATTTTATTAAAATCTATATCTGTATATCTGCAGCCTTTGATAAGATTGTTTATTTGCACACATTGCATTTGTCTGTCTTTAAATGTTAAAATTTAAAGATTGTTATGTTATTTTTGTCCACTTGGGGGCAATGAAACAAGCAGTAAACTTAATATCTGACATTTGATCATCTTATTAGTTGTTCATATTAGTCAGTCCCTCTAAGTTGCGAAGTTACAACAATTAATGCAAATTCACCCAATCCCTATGACTTATACGTAAACTTACAATTTTGTCCAATCACCACAACCTTTCTGAAAATTTGACCAATCATTGTAGTTTCCTGCACAAAACGAGCCATACATCACTTCCTTGTTTCTAGTTGTTAAGATGCTGACATGTGTGGCACAAATGTCTCATATATACCCTCAAAATAGAGGAGTTTTATTCTCACTGGGACAAGTTGCCTTTGATTTTTAATGAATTATACACAAACTATTTTTACAATTTTCACTTTCTTCTGCAATTGTATTGCAAAGAATGCCTAAAACATTACAACATACATTGCAATTTTAGTTACTTTTTTTTGTTACTTTTGTTATTATGAAATCATTTAGGCTGCATTTGAAGTTTTATTTGTGTCCACTTGGGGAAGAGAATAAGTCTAATATTCACTCTCCATCAAACAGTATGTTTATCAAGGCATTTTCACTAAAAAAAAAAAGTGTCTTGTTGGGATGGAAAAACAAGGTTGATGATAGCGGTGAGAATGAACCAAAATCGCAAAGCCAGTAAAATCAAAATAATGAACTAAAAGATGCTGCAACTGCAGAGTTGACTAAATTTCAATAAGTTTGACCCCTAATTATTGATTAGTCCAACTTTAAGATACTGATTTAAGCTCAAAATGTTTGCCCTGTTAGGCCTAGCTATAATTAAACCTATGGCCAGAAGCAATGTTAGACCTATTAGCCCCAGCTCAAAGTTTGATGAATCTCTTATACTATGACACAATGAATGTGTCAAATAGGCTAAAGGCAATAAAAAGTGACCTTGTGCTGTGTGGGAACGGGTTCACGGTCAAGACCCTGTGTGATCTACAGAGGGTTTGTTCATCAGAGGAAATGAGTGATGTCAGTCCTCGAACCTGTTATGGTTGCTTGCCCATTGTTTGGCCAGGGTTTCCATCACAGCTCCCAGTTGCCTGACTGGACTTTGAGTGTCAGCAGCATGGAAAAGAGGGGAAAGACCCCAACCTGAGCTCACATCCTGCTTTTGTTGGGACACTTTTGGGAATGTTGATGATCAGATAAATACTTGCTCAAAATTTCCTTTTTTCATATTGCTGAAAATGTGAACATCTGCACCTTCTGTGGAAGCAGACAAGTAAAGACAACATGTTTTTAGCCTTAACATCCTTTTGTGAGTTCTTAATAATGCTGTAATTTTAAACTCAAACAGAAGTGACTTTAGTTCTGCAGCACCCATTGGAATTTGTTTTCCCAGACGAAAAATGCTACTGTTCTATTTTCCCTGTTGTTGCATGATTGTCTCAGAAGCATTTCCATATTACCATTATTATACAGTGATGTACAAGGTGAATCAATCTTGATGTCTGGCGTGAATATGATTAAATTTAAAAGTACTGTACATCAGCAATGCCAAAATATGCCCTTCCATATCCAATATCATTCATAAGTAAAGTCTAAGAACAACAAATTCCTTTTCTCATAGCTTACTCCTGGTATCATTCACTGACCTGCACAACTTATGTTTGTCCAGGCACAACAGGGGAGTTCCAACCCTCTGGGTTCAGGCCTGGGTTACCTGACACACATCTGCCAACTCATTGAGAAGATCGGCCAGCTTCAGGAGACAAACTTGCAGCTGCAGAGGCAGATCTGCAGCCTGCAGAAGAACAGCAGAATGACAAAGACCAAAGAGGTGTGTGACTGTTTTTCAATGTATTTTTTCTCACAGTGTAGCTCTGTTGCAAGCAAGCAGTACTATTGTACTACAACAACAATACAAGGTTTTATAATAAAATTAAGGTTTTCTGTCCCTTAATGCTACACAACATAGAACAGCAGATAATTAAGAGAATAACATACAAAATAAATAACTGTATATTTAGATACATACATGTATAAAATTCAATGGCAATGGCTGTGCATACACATCTTTAATCTGTATTTTTTTTCTTTGTGTCTGATTGTCACAATTGTTCAAATCGACTGGATCGGGAGATTTTGACTGTGGCAATGGCTGCGCATTCAGACACATATAACAGAATTCTGCCTTTCATATCTGAATATCTAATAATGGCTTTTTAGACCTTTTTCTGACAGTATAATCATCACTCTATTGATGCTATAGGGTTCTCTAAATAGGAGAACCATACGTTTAGGGTGGATTCAGGAATCCTGGACTGACACTAGTGCAGAGAGTTTTGGGCTCAGGGTCCAGAACAGTTCCCCTGGAGCAATGGCTGAAGCCAACAGGGGTCTTGGACTTGAAAGCTTATAAAGCAACCATGCAAAGAGAGAGGAAAAGAAAGGCTCACTGTCATGTATTTAATTCATACAATCACTTTTTTTGTGTGTAAATCTTAATACCTTTACATTCTACTTCTAATTCACATCAAGACTTAAAATATCTGAATATTCATGAGTGATGGATCAAACCGTCTGCTCCTACAAGCCTTTTTGTATGATTCACTGCTGTTATAATCTCATATTCTCATAAAGGCAAGCAGAGGACCAACAAAACTGTAACCATCTAAAGTACCTCAATACCCCAAAAGCAGGGTAGTGTAGACCACTGGGGCAAATTAGGATTGTCAGATATCATTCTAATAGCCTGGATTTAACATCATTAGTACATATGTAGTCCAGAAGTATAGAATCCCTCTTGTAGAACACACAAACGGTGCTTGACTATTCTTAAACCTATTTCCACACAATCTCCCTGAGCTCTTGACCAGAGTCTCTTCAGTTATCTAGGAAGCAATGGAAAGGACATTCCATGGTGTTTTTTTCTCCTTGACTAACTTCATAATACCTCTAACAGCCGTATCCTTTGCTGATGGTTTAAGGGTCATTGGCTCACCATGGTGTCCCCAAAACTCCTGTGTGAGGGCTTACCCCACAGATAGGGTTGTCCATAGTAGCATCTACCTTGTACTCAACCTACATAGGGAGAATTGCACAAATTCATCAATTTCAGTTTTACAAAGAAAAGAAAATGTGCATTGTTTTGAACAGATTACCTACTTCAGAAGTCAAAAAGGATTCTATAATTTGATAAAGAAAATACATTTTGTAGATTTTTGTCAGAGAAATCAAGGAATATTTTTCACCCATAATTTGTTTTCAATCTCATTTTGTTAAAAAAAGAAATGTGACAAAATACCCAGTATCATGACTTGTATCGAATTGTGAGTCAAGTGTATTATTACATCCCTAGTAGAAACATGGTGGACCTGCTCCCTTTGTAGATAAAAACAGCTCATTCTAAGGTAACAATAAGGTAATGAAAACATAGCTATGAATATTATATTCCATTTATGACAATAGATCCCCATGAATGTTACACAGTGGACCTTTCAATTCTAACACACATTTTAGTTGAATGTCTTGCAGTACATTGTATATGTCCTTTGCCTCCATGAAGTAGGACATAAGACTTTGCCAGTTCAATTTGTTTGTACTGGGTCATATTGTGATCTCTTCTAGCGCAGTTGCTATTGTTCAATGCCTGGTGCTCTTATGGAGACCAGGTTCTTGGTGCCGACTAAAAGTTTGGCTTAGCCAGCGTAGATGTTTGCTTGATACTTAAACTCTGGACCACACTGCTTCTTCCTCTACAAGTCGGTTGCATATTGCTTTTGAGGCAGCCATTATAAAAATAAATAAAAACACTGATTTTCATGTCCCTTCTATTGAGTCTGTAGCATTTGGAACCAAAGAATAGATGATTCAGTGAAAAGACACTGGATTTGTTTAGATCTGTAAAATTCTGTGAATACCTAGAGGTCTAACCAAAATAAAAATCATTAGGCAGCGTGCCGTCATCTACCCCCATTACTCTCTAAAAATATGGTTATGTAATAAAGCTAAGAGAGAGGTTCTTTTGTATTGATATCAGGAGGGGAATGTGTGTATGTGGGCTGATGGATGTGTTGTTTTAGAGGCCCATTTGAACCTTTCCTCCACAGTAGGTGAAAGGTAACTTCAGAGCAGGGAAAGAGATTATGTGGCAAAAATCAGGAAATGACTTTATATAATGAGCCACTTGGGTTGCATGATGAGGCTGTACAGGTGGTGTGTGTCTGTACTGTGTACACATACACATGTAAAGTCGTTTTTTTTCTATAGTAAAAACATTATTCCACACAATAGAGCAAGAAAACCGACATCTCATCCCTTTAATCTTGACAATGTGACATTGCAGTCCTAGGCAGCATTTGCGTAGTTTGCACTATTATGGGATTTGACTTGGAAGTGATGTCATCCTGTAATTCCCTTTCAGTTAGCATGGAAGGATGTGACCCATGTTTTGGGAGGACTGTTTTATTGTTCTTTGTTTCACAGAGTCAAAGAATGAACATACAGTATACTGACACACATATACTACACACTGTCATTTTCATCCGAAATAATATATATAATACACTGTATTGGTTCACCCATGATCACTAACAGGAACAGTAAATGAAAAAATTAGAAAGGCGTCTACAAATACAGTGCCTTGCGAAAGTATTCGGCCCCCTTGAACTTTTCAACCTTTTGCCACATTTCAGGCTTCAAACA